TTAGGACAGCCTCCATGTTGTATCTGGCATCCAGCTACATATTGGCACATGGGATTACATCGCTTTGACCCATCCGCATGCATATAATTGCGTCGGACCTATAGAACGCAATTCATTTACTGCTCAGCATCATTAGAAAGACCCTTTAGTTCCGCCAGCGTAGGCCCTAATGGGGTGGAGAAATGCTGGTTGATACTCAAAGACACAAGAAATGAACAGAGTTTTGAGAAAAGGAAGCGAAGTAGGTAGGTGAAGTCAATAAATGTTAAGCAAATGTCCCAACTCCTTGTTTGTTTAATCAGTAATGGCAGTGTGGGGAGGCTTGGCAATTTTTGATAGAGATTCTGTCCATATACCGAAAAGCTGAGAAGCACGGCACAGTTATTTCACCTTTATTGGGAATTATCAACAGTGTGCACATCCAGGGAGATTCGAACCCTCAGCCTCGGGGCCACCAGACTGTTCGGCAATGAGGGGTTGGTCAGCTAGGTGGAAGTCTAATTCACACAATTAGCGAAACTTTCACCTGATTGGTCGTCAGTCTAGGAGCCAGTCAACAAGTGGCCACTTAGTGTGGGTTCCATGAGTGACGCTACATTCTATCCAACTGAGAGCTACTCACATTACCAATCCTTCACTTGTGGTCAAACGGTTGACTGTTCAAACAACTAGCCAGGATGTCGCGGTTGGAAACTCTCAGGAGTTTTGTTAGATGCGCCCTACTGATAATTCCCAACCAGGGGGAAGCAGCTGTGCAGTTTTTCTGTCTCTCACTATCTCATACTGTGCTAATACACAGTTAGGTTACCTGTTTGGCTCAAACCAGTGCAACAATCACAGGCAATCTTTCAGTTTGGAGGCCGATTACGACAATATCCATAGGCCTCAGTCACACGCTTGTTTTGAGCAGTCCGGACCTTGTCTTCTAATCAAGTCAAACCTCCGATTCAAAAGCTCTAATGGTCGCAACAAGCCAACCCACTGAGCGCATTTTGGACTTTCTCACCAGAATATCTCCACACGCTTTGTGGTTGCTCCTACTGACTTTACGCTAAGTTCATTCTCTTTGTCACATCCTCTCTCGATGTAAATGAGGTCATTTTTTGATGACTGACTTACCGAATTAGAATGACTGGCCACAGTCGTTGTATGGAACTAAAGTCGAATCCAACTACCAGGGAACGATGACCTACATTGCCATACATACTATGTTTGTAGCCAACAGATATAGGGTTGCATAATTCGGCATCTGGGCGAGATGGCTCAAGTGGTTAGAGCGCGAATTTACTGACCGGAAGGTCCGTGGTTCGAAACCGACCTCTCCCTCTCGACTTCCCCGGTGTAGGCGACTTGGCAGTATCCCAGCCCTCGTTCTTCCAACGGGTGAGTGTTTTCATAATGGGCGATGAATGGTGATACAATGAGAGATGGTGCGTAGAAGTATATCGCAAAGAACTAGTGAGGGCAAAAGTTATGACTGAGTGATGTCAACGAACGATGGTATAATACAGTAGTGCGATGTTTCGGATAGCTGAAGAAGCGGGTGTAAGACAAATCTAACGGCGCTATGGGGTAAACGCGAGGATAAATCATTGTTTGAATTTCCACTTACAGAGCAGGCGACGTTGTACTTCTCCGTATTCGAAAACTGGCTTCAATCTCTTAAGAATTCGTGCGATGCTTTGAAGGCAAGTTTGCGTCTGTAGTATACCACGACCAGGTATACATTTTGAGAATGTCCGCTTTCACAGATTAAATCAACCAACTTCTGACCACAAAAGCCATAAGATTTCCACGGGGATTTCACTTTTAGCGCATCAAAAATGGATTATGAAAATGACTCGCCGGAACCCCTAGTGTCAGCCTGAAGTTATCAGTCAGGGAGACAGCCAACCGGCGACCGTTTGATGTGGGTCGCCTGATGTATCACTATATCCTGTACAGTTAATCAGAATGCTGATCAGTCCACCCTGGAAGAATGTTAGAACACTCAGCCGTTAACCAGAAAGTCAAGAGCTTGAATCTTTTGAAAATTTGTGAAGTGCATATTGATGGTGGCGCAACAGCATACATAGTACTTCTTGCCAAGGGTAGATCGGCTGTGTTTTCCGGATTAAGGCTTAGCGGATATTATGGAAATAATCTTCTCAGAAAGAGTCTTGCAATTGAGATGCCATCACTCAAGGAGCCCGTCAATATGTGAATTACGCAAACAAGTGATGAGCGACGCTATATCCAGTTCATATCATTTACCTTATCAATTTCGACTGACGGAGGCAGACTAGGAGATTTCTGTTGACCTTGTACATCGAGGCCAACATTTCCCTAACCCTTGCCGTTCTCCACCATCACCCATCATGTGATAGTTGCTTATCGTACATCCAGCTGAAATGAAGGGTGTTGGATCTAGTGAATGGTTCACTGAAGCTTTCTGGATACGGTACACCAGTAATTAATCTTTCACATATAGGTAGCTTTCCCGCACATCTCACAATGTGATGGTACCGTGAGGAGATGTTGTCATTTCAAACTGAGATTTCTTTCTGTAAGTGAAACCAGTCTGTGCTGAGAAGCCCAACAACTCCATCCTTGTCGGCAATCACCAGCCAGAGAGTTTAGAACACGCGGCCTTCCAACAGCCAGTTCTTGAATACTTAGCCGTTCGGTCTTGAGTGGCCGAATATCACTGTGATTAACTCGCACTTTGAGTGACACTCATCCTTCAGTCACAGAAACCGCACCACGTGGTCACGTATTGACTGGCTAGTGGGGCGGCCGGCGACTTCTCAGACAAAAGTTCCTCTGAACCACTTGTAGACTGATCGTGGTGTGTGTGTGGTTGGAAATGGGTAATTTTGTTGCTCAACGGAAAAGGCATACATGGGTCTTCAGTCTCCGGAACATTCACTAAAGCGTGTGTAGGAAGAATGTGACTATAGATGAATTTTGGAGCATTGCTGAAAGCAGTGTATTCAACCTAACTTAACCTTGTGACAGTTTCCCCATTCATTTTCTTACCCCGTCCATGATTTTTGGTCTCCATTAATTTTCCCCATCAGTACCCACTATACATCTTGTTGCAAAGGCCGTCCTGTCCAAGACCGGTACACACTAGTCTGTGTGCATGTGTGAATGCGCGCAGCTGACCTACTTGCCCAAACGTAGCCGTACTCCGTTTTCTGAGCCTGTCCTGACGTGTTCTGTCGTGATATCCACGTAATCGCACCGCCAATCGAAATCACGAGACTGTCCTCGGAAGGGACGACCGCAACCCACTCTACCGAGTCAGTTTTCCGCTCGACGCTGTTTTGTTTGCGGACCTTGACATTAAACTGTGACACCACGAGTTTGAACCACTGAGATTTGCTGTACGACTGCCTAAATAGTACCGTAGACCTTCGAAGCCAATTATTCCTTTCGATATTCAGTGACTCAAAGTTCTGTATCGGGAACCTCAACAGTGTGTATTTCTGTCACTGGTCGATACCAGGTCTAGGACAAGGCACGGCTTTTTTCCACATGCATTTAAACATTATCGAAGATTTTAGTTGTTTCTAAAGAAGAGAAACGAATAAGGTCTACAAAACGACACAAAAAAGAAGCTGTTCAGTCCAGTGTGTATACAAGACGCTGGATTTGATGCAATGGCTGTAAATTCAGGTAGTGGTTGAAGACATTCACCGGGGTTTGCACTAAAGCAGTACTAGAAAGCATATCCAAAACGCTTCCGATAGAACCACGATATTTTTGAGTTTGAAACGACTTGATAGGCTTACTCAGCCCATTGCAGAGTCCACTCCTCAGTAGTGACAAGGTGATCTCTGTTTGGAGGTTGTCCATGAACATGACACTGATGACAATGATGATGATGATATAATGGAAAAAATAGGGAAGAAATAGTGAGTGCGCCACGTCTACCACAACTACCGGTGAAACTGCCGTTTTATGCGTCACAGCACAGACGATTTAGAGGATGACTGATATCCGGACACCTTGAGTTTAGTGATCCACCGAAGAGTTCACCGACGACTAGTGAGGTATAGTGCTTATGCTGGAACTAAGAAAATTGCATCAGAAGAAGGAGCATGAACTTCCAAGTAGAAGAACTAAGCTGCAAGAAAATCAGTTTAACTTGTGAGAAAATCGATTTTTCTCAACAAGGCCTTAAAATACAAACAATCATACTTTCCAGAAGCGGATGTTTCATGCCGTTTTCATCCTAATCGCACAATCCTGTCAGAAGACCTAGTAAGCCGTCGTATCAACACAATTTATGATTCAGGACATAGAGCGAGGGATGAACAGATTCAGCACCCAAATCAAGTTGTTCCTCGATCTTCCTCAACAGAAGCAACTTTACTTGATACTTCTGCGGCGACACGTTTGAAATGCGCGGGAACCGCAGTGAGATTGCCTCAAATTCATTTCAACCTAGCTGTTGCTTCTCCGACAGGTTTTGTTGACTGGTTTGTGTACACGGAGCGGATAGAGGATGCTGGTTTATTAGAATCAAACCAAAAAAACGCACTGTGATAGAGCAACTCGGCACAATAATACCGTCTCTTTAGCTGCCTCGTCATCCAGCAACCATCACGCAGCGATACTTGAGGGTATGGAACAATAAGACGTTCATGTGTGACCTTGTTGTAAGGGTACACTGGTGTGGTCATATGCATGTCAGCATGCACAAACGGAGCTTTCTGCATATAGCAGGTGTGTGTGAGTGTTCATATGTACGCATCGGGCCCAATAAGACAACACGGTTCTGCGGCATGTACGAACAGATCCTTTTAGATAGTACCAGTTGCTACATACATTTATTCGTGTACGTCAATAGAAAAAGAATTGATTGTGCCATTTCATTAGGTCCGAACCTGACATGGAAGCTCAGATCCACGATTCGGGCGCATCCATGAAATAGCTATCCGTATCGTACTAATTGGAACTATATTCCCGTCGGGTTCAATTTTCTGTGCTAACCGCCCGTAGTCAGCATCATTATGCCGACGGTTGACGAAGTCAAGGCAGCCAATTCCGAAAGCCTGTCAAACAATGACTTTTTGGTTAATCTGGCCCTGACTTTCAATGTGGTAAACATTCCTCTGGCGATTTTTATCCTCATTCTCGTGTGCATTGCCTGTATCCTCTTTGTGGTCCTCGTCATCTTCATTGTACGCAGTTGCATTCGTCGAAAATTCATTCCCAAATCAAAACGACGTCCAATCAAAAGTATCTATCTGGATGAAATACCCGGAGCGATACCGGGCCAGGTGGAAGGCCAGCACGGTACTCTGGAATATTCACTGGAATATCAATTAACAAAACAGCAGCTCAACGTGGGTGTTATTCAGGCCAATGACCTTGCACTACGACCAGGAGTGGAACATTTGGACCCTTATGCGAGCGTCAGTTTGTTAAAGGTTCAAGGAGAAAAAAGTAAAGTTTTTGGAAAAGTAAATAAGACGGTTGTTCGAAAAAACTCGACAAGCCCGAATTGGCAGCAAACATTTGCCTATCAGATTCCTGAATCTGAACTAAAATGTATAACGGTTGTTTTTGAAGTATTCGACTACGATAGTATCGGACAAGATATTTGCATCGGACATTTGGATGTTCCTTTGAAAGAAGTGGACGAGGGAGAATATGCAGGCCAAATACTGGAACGTACTGGCTGGCTAAAATGCGGAGAACCAATGATGGAAGGAATAGGCGAACTATGCATCGGATTGTGTTGCAACAATACCGGATCACAAATCGATGTGACCATCTATGAAGCACGACAGTTGACCGTCGCTGATCAACTATCGTCCAAGAGAGGATCCAGTGTTTTTGTTCACTTGGTATTGAAGCATAACAAGAAAAGAATGGGACATTATAATACCAAACCGAAACCGGAGTTGATAAACCCTTATTTCAACGAGAGACACACGTTTACAGTTAAATCCGGGAACCTGGACAGTTGTGTGCTACTGTGTAAATTGAAATCGAATTCTGGCCGGAAAAAAACATTGGGTCACACACAGTTGGGCGTCGATGCAACAAGCAGTACTGGGGCGAAACACTGGGAAGAGATGATCAAGGGTCCTGGGAAAACTCATGTGTTTTGGCACATGTTGTCTGTGGGTAACGAGGATAGGTAATTTGTCCTGCCAGTGGTTCCTTTCAGTTCATTCTCCCTGTTTTCGACTAACCAGCGAGAAAGCATACCGGTTTTTCTGAAGGCAAGTAATCGCAATTCCAGTTAACATACAATGCTTTTCTGGCGAAGATTTTCTTGTTGTCCATTTTTTTCAAAAAACGGGTACGGTTTTTTTAACAACCACCACCACCACCACTCATCTTTAGGTAAAAGATAGCACTTTATCTACGCCAATCCATTTATATAAATGCAAACTAATTGTTTTCATGTAATTTTCTTTGGCCAACGAAGACAATGTGCCGTTTCCACGTTCGACGTAGTTCTAACGGCCCACTGAAAGAAGTGAAGGCCTATCTCACTGTTTGTAATAAAGTTCTTCAAGTGTTTTGAAATGTTTTTTTTTCTGATATTTTTCGTGTCTTCTAACGTGCAGGCGTCAGCTATTTCAGCATGAGCCTCGCAGTCATCGGTTTTGGGTCAGATGACTGTTACTCTGTCCGTCGACCTCGGCAGTTTACTTGCATACTTTCCGTCATCCCTTGTGGAGACATCATCAGTGCGCAGACTGATGACCAGACGCTGATGATAGTTCCACGGGTGGCGAGGAAACGTCTGCAATTAACTTACCAAAGGCTCTGGGATCAACATCCTCCTGATCTACAACCAACTGACGGACACGATAGGCCACCAACTCGCAGTCATATAATTTTACCGAACGGCTATTTTGAATGCATCTGGCTAAAATTCTGTTCATTCTAAAGATAGAAGATCAGTCATCTAACGGTTCGAGTTCCGTTAATTTTTATTATGCTATGGTAGAAACTAGGCGAAAAAGTTGGAGTAAAATTTAGCTTACGGGTTGACCTTTGCTGCGGAGAAGCAAAACATACGTTCATGGTGCAGCTACTGACAGCCCTTGTGTGCGGATTGTCAGAGTAAAGATAACGGGGAAGCGTTAAAAAGATCAGTTTTTCGAAAACTCATCGTGCAGTTGGAGTCGATCATGGCTGAAAAGTTGAGAAACCCGATAGCTGTTTCATCTCTTCTTGAAATCTTCAGTAGTTCTTACCTAATGAACCTCTGGCAAGACTGGGACTCGCTAACTTTTGGCTAGTAGTTTAACGTCACATCACTTGATTCGAGCTAGCTGATCCCGCTGTGATTAACTCGTACTTAGGCCGGATAGCTTATTGTTTATGCGCCAGTCGTGTGATCCCTTGTCGATAGAGACTTCGGGTAATGAATAGTCTCAATGTTTGCAAAGTACGAGTACCCTGCACCTAAGAACAGAATTCTTCGGACCTAAACTATTAAAGGTTGACATTCAACTAGCTAGTTAACACCATGGCACTTGTTGCGAACTGTGAGGTTGACGAATTATTGACAATATGCCTGGTGTCAAATGAACCATCGCCCATCAGTCCTTATCGGCTGAATGACACAGAATTCGACTCCTAACCGGAAGATTTTGAGTTCGAACTCTCCTGAGAAGTGCTAAGATTCACACTGCTGGTGGCTCTCAACTAGCTATGGACAGCTGTTCAGAGTTTATTAACTTTTTAGCCTAGACTGGCCTAACTTACCGACAGTTCAGCTGAAAAGCTACGGCGTTGGCCCTACTGGGACCGCTTACGCCCAAAGTACTGTAAGGTTCTGAGTCCTACAGGACTAGGATCATTTGAACCTCAGTCAAGAAGGCACGAAGGTCACACAGTAGTCAATTTGACTATGGTCGCTTCCAAATCATGCCGCCATGTCATGGTCGGTCTCCCGGAAACCCCTCGTTAAGTCAGGAAACATGACTTTACTTGAGAATTGTTAGTTAGCTGCACATTGAGTATGTTCCGACCAACTTGACAATATAAAATATTTTCCGACTTGCAATTCCGATCCGCTCGCGGATTCCCACACACAAACGCACACAGGAAACCACAAAATTACGCGGCCATAAAACGAGACAGATCTTGTACACTGTCTTTGGCTTCAACGTCATTCGATCCTGGATGTAAAGCCAGAAGTGAGACTTTGCACTCTGAGGGTGAGAAGCACAAGCGCTCGAGGTCATTTGCGATCAATTCGCGTCAAATTTGTCCGGCACTGATGTTCGCATCTTTCGAGTGGAGAGTGACTTTTTTAGAAACTTGGTTTCGAGTGATTTCAATGATGTAAGCCCCTCCGCTGATTTGGCTCCGCTATTCCACGACTCTGGTTGATTGCACCCAACAAAACGCGACAAAAACGTGAAACAGTTATGAAACAGTTAGGACGGGCTTCACCTACATATTGGAACCATGATTTTTCTTCACCCGAAAAGTGTGTTTTACGATGACATTTTGCCACATATTCTTGCTGGTCTGGTTTAAAAATCAGGATTTCAGTTGGCTGGATGGTTTGTTTAGTGGAGTTTCCTTACTGCAAAACTGTTGGTTTAGACCGGTTGTCGAACCTGTTTGAAATATTGTAAAGTTGTGCCAGCAAAAACGAATTGTGCGGAGTCGTTTGGGTTACCACATTGGAGCTCGCGAATCCGATTTGAATCCGAATAAATAGGACCAGGACTAAACACCCAGAGACATTTTGATAGTATGTAGATACTTTGAAAGTTCAGTGAAGACTTCGTTCTGTGAGCAAAGTCAGTCTGCGCTGAATAGTTGAGGGAGAGTATACAGCCGTTTCATCCTCACTGCGTACCTTACGAAACCCCAAGGAGTTTTGAACCCGCGACATCCCAGCTGTTAGTTCAAACGCTCAACCACAAGCGGCAGGTCAGATCAAAGAAGAAACCATTCGCCTGATGAATGAAGATTCGGTCTAATTCTTCAATTGAGGAGTCAGTCAACACCCGTGACCACGCGAAGTAGATTCCTTGACTGAACGATGATAGGTGCGACATTCTGTCTAAGTGTGAATTAATCAAACTGCTGACTAGTCGCTTGTCACCGAACGGTTCATTCTTCACCTACTGACCGGAAGGTTGCGAGTTCGAATCTCCTTGAAGATTCGTGAGATGCGCGCTGCTGCTGATTCCCAATGAGGATAAAACTGCTGCACAGTGCTCTTTAGATTCTCAGTACGGGTTGGCTTCATTCATCAGAGCCATTAGCGAGCCTGAGTAAGGTCACTTGGCAGTAAGCACAAACAGTTGCGCACTAGCGTCTTGTCATTTTTCTCATGTTCGGTTGTTACAAGTCACCTTTCCTTCACAATATCTTACAGTCATATCCTCCCCAGGTCCCAAATTTGCAAACTGGGTCTTTGATAATACAATTAGGGTGAGTTCGTGCCTTAGGAGCCCGATCCTTAAGCGGATACATCCGCACGGGCGACCTGATGGAGTTACCGGTGTTGGTACTTTCGTCACCTATGAATGGATCGTTCACGTTTGACTAGTGAAACACTCCAGTTCACGAGGTGCTCCAGCTTTGTAGATTTGGCCTTTCACCAAATGCCTCTGTCCAAGTTTGGGTGTTCCATAATCTAAAATTAACTTGTTTTTTTTCCATCAAGCGCACCTGATACTTGTCTCCTTGCACCGTAGTTTCACTCCTTTCCAGACCTGCAGAGTTTCTCCATTGTCCAGTAGTAAAAATGGGGTAATCGATTTCACGTTAGGTATTTCACAGAGCGCGACTCGACAGGGTTTGTTTCGGGCCAAGATGTCTTACGAAAAACTTGAATGTCCGATGCCTGGTCTACTCAGCGAATATGCGTAGCCTTCAGTAAATATTACACAGGAAATCGGTGCAGAATTTGGGTGTGACGTAAGCGCACTGTTTGCAATTTTATGCTGTATCAAAGTGTGGATAATACACGACCCGGTACTCAGAGAGGTTTATATTTCATAGTAGATGGTGATTATCCTACGCATGCTGCTGAAACACTCTAAAATTGTTGCTAGTTCCTGTTATTCGGGTGTCAACCTGTTATCAGCCGTTTTGTCGGGAGTTAGGGTGTTGCTAAGATAGCTAAACTCTCAGTAGAACGCTATCCAACTATCATTCATCCCCATGTTTTTGACACGTTCTGTTTCCCTTGACAAAAGATTGGTAACAAGCAAGAGTTTTTAGAAATATTTGGATTTGTGCCAAAACGGTATGGTGTGGATTCGAACATATTTGTTGAATGCAGCAATTGCTTTCCATCATGTGCTAACTAAGCACAATTTTCTGTTGAAGCAAGTATCCGAACCTTTATCTGGTGTGAAGTTTTCCGGCTGGGTGTTTGGAATTAAACAGGTTACTATCCAATTAGTATTCGACGGCTGCGTAATAGTGGAATTTCAAGGCAATCCCAACTTTTTTGGCTACTAGACAAAGGCTGGATCAAATGGGTATCCTAAAACAGCGTTTGCTTCTCATTGTGTCCACAGATGCAGTTCTAAAAGCCTGAACTTTGATCTTTAACTTAGGGTGAAATATCTGACAGGATTGAAAAAGAGCCACTAACGTGACTGGGTGCCTGTTTCACTGCGAAAATTCGCCCTATGGTGCTCCGTTCGCTCATAAATCCACACATTTTCTCTGGGATCATTTCTGGTGAACGGAAATGCAGTTCAGAGTTCTACCAGCATAAAGAAGCAGAATAATTTCGGGAAATCGTTTGTCTTCTGTCGGCGTGATTCCCTCCGAATGAAAGGAAAGGTGTAGTCTAATGGGACACCCCTAACACCGCATTTCGAGTGGCTTACTTTGAGAAGTTTGCCTTCGAGTCCCTGCCAATCATGTTTGACCAGCTCAGGTGGTGCTGCGTTGGAAAAGCGAATGTCTTATTGCCACGTGACCGTCATTTATGTAATTCTCCGTGTGCCGCTGAAAGTGATTGATTTCCTTGGTCTTCTTTGACGAACGAAACAGCACTGCGAAGAAGCGGGCCTTCTACATAGTCCGTGTATCTTCGGAATCCGGTGTACTGTCGACCTACTCAGATGTCTTGAAACGGTTGGGGATCTTGGGTTTTCATCCACGGGTTCCCTTCACTGTGATACGGACTACTTCACAGACT